CACATAGAGCGCCACTGTCGAGTTGTCGGTATGTATCATTAGGTCGCATTCTGTAGAATGTTGCTCCAATGTCTTATGGCGTTGATTACAGCTTTCATCTCTAATGAGTTTATGTGGAGCTTGCTTTCTAGCTGATTCCATAACCCTGATGCCGTCGGTTGGTGAGATGAGCTCCCCAACCTTGGAGCGGCAGCGTCTACATATAGATGGGTTTTGAATTCCTGCTCTGCTAAACAAATCCCTTCGCAGACATTCGATTTCTTGGTCCACCATAGTAGATGAGGTCTGAGATGTTTCGGTAGACTGAATGGTTGTAGGTCGTCGAGATGTGTGTTGATGAAGACCTGTAAGGGACGTAACTGTAATCTGCCTCTGACTGTCAAGTCTTGGGCTGATGTTAGAAGACCTAGTAAGCTCTGCCATTGTCGAAGTGGTAGCGGAGAGAGTAGGGCTGGTGGAATGATCTGTTGGATCTTGAGCCAGCGGTCTTCTGAAATACGACTATCACGGTTGAGATTGGTGATAAATCGAATGCCTAGGAATTGCAGATCTTTGCGATGGTACTAGGTCCGACTTGAGTAAGTTTACTAACCATCCCAGCTGTGTTAGTAGCTTTATGATGTAGTTTAACTGTAGTTTGAGATGCTGTGGATCTTGATCTACTTGTATCCCGTCGTCGAGGAAGAAAGCACTCGTAGCCCTTGGCGATGTAGATAGGTGACAATCGGTTTCGTTATCCTCGTGAATAACCATGGGGCTGATGATATTCGAATGGGAGTACTTTCCACTGGTAATGTAACCCGTCTAGTGTAAACCGTAGGTATTTCCTGGATTAGGGATGTATAGGGATGTGCAGATAAGCATCTTGTAGATCTATACTGCCCATGTAGTCCATGGGGCGAATCATGTGCCGTAACTGCGGTAGATGTATCATCGCGGAACCTCGGTGGTCTGCGTAGATAAGTCTTGTTGAAGAAGCTCATGTTGTAAATGAGTCTGTATTTCTCCTTGGAGTTTTTCTTGGGTACTAGGAAAACTGGGGAGTAGAAACCTGGTTCGATGTTTCCTTGATCTATTACTTCTATGGCCTGCTTGGTTAGGAGTAATGTAACAGCCTCTCTTAACTTTGGTAGTTGCTGTGCCTGTACGTCGAACTTGTGAGGGTTGACTGTTAGCGGAGGCTTGGCCTGTAGTGGGATACAAAATCCGTGTTGAAGAATGTTGGAGACACAGGTGTCTTGAAGCATTCCCCAGTTTTCCCAGTGTAGTTGGAGACGTCCACCCACTTGTGACGGTTGTACTGGAACAGCTGGGGGTGGAAGACTCCAGTCGTTCCGAACCTGTCTTTCAGCGTTTATAGTTGCGGGAACCTCTGGGTGTCCTGCCTCTTCCTGACCCTCCTCTATAGTTGCCATATGGGCGACGAAAAGAATCTCTTCCCCTGGAACTGGCTATCTTCCTGTCTCTTGCTCTTTGTAGGCCCGTGAATTTAGATCTCCCTGAGTATCTTTGTGAAGTCTGTCGAATGACACTGGCTATCGTGTCCATCGATTTAATCATCAGGACTTCTCTGGAATCCTTGGTGACTTCCTTGGAGACTTTGTCTATTCCTCCGTCAAAGATGGATGGGGAAGACCACGGGGCTGTATATAGTGGAGCTGTAAAGTTCTCACCCCAGTTGCAGGAAGCGAGGAGGCCTTGACGACGAGCTAAGGTCAGTGCTGCTGAGACAGACGTGAGATGATCTGTTAAGAACTGCTGGTCCTTCTTTTGCATCAGTAGGGCCGAGTAAATCATTCTATCATCTTCAGAGGTCGTGTTACGAAATCTGGTGATAAGTGTCTCATTAAATGTTCTAGATCTATTTAGACCAAAGAACTACGTCTCGTCATGGTTTCTATCTGAACCAATTTCCGATCATCAATCTTGTAGTACTTGTTCTTGGCATCGGAGATCAGCTTGTAGTTCTCATCGATGTCTTGCGCCTTGAAGAAGGGGTCCATATTATGCGTGGAGAACTTCTTGGCGTGAAAGTTTGGCAGATGTGGTGTCTGAACCTTCGTGGCTTTGTGGAATGCTGTATCTAGGTTCTGTGGTACCGCCGCAATCGGGTCGATTGGGGGTAGTGTGATAGCATCTGCATCGTCTTCTTTCATCAGGTATGTCTGCGCCGAGTTGCCACTCTTGGAAGGTGATGAGAGATCTAGATTATTGACCATCCAATATCTTATCTCTGCATCTGAGAAATTAATTCCTCCATCATCTTCCATTCCATCATCATTAATGAGAGGTTGTTGCTCTTCTGATGTAGGACTGTGTGGCTCTATCTCTATATCGTTTGACGCTTGTGGAGATCTAGTTGTAGGCTTGTGTGCAGACCTGTGAGGTGATCGACGTGGTAATGTACGTGGAGATCGGTGTGGTGATCGGCGAGGCGATCGTCTTGGTGATCTACATCGATAGGTTGATCTTCTTGGAGACCTGTGAGGGGACCGTTGGTAGCTTCGCGAAGCTCTTGTGTAGTCCCTCGATGTCCTTTTAGATGATGACGATCTGGGTTCAGGTGTCCTTCGCAAAGCTTCCTCTGCGTCGGTCCTGGGGAACGGTGATATGACCTTCGCGAAGGCTTCCGTGAGGTCTGATGATCAGATTCCGTATCTGAGTATGACGCCGAAGAAGGTGATGATCTTTCCCGCCTTCGCGAAGGCTGTACATCTGGGTCCTTCGTCGAGGTGGTCTGTGACTTCCTTCGCGAAGGCGGCATCGTCGTGGCTGCTACGTTGACGGGGGGTGCCTCTGGGGTGCTGTCTTACGTTGGAGCCTTCGCGAAGGCTCGGACCCTGGGATGGCTGCTTCTCCAGTCTGTAGTGGCCTTCCATCATGATCATGATCTGCTTCATTAGATCGTCTGGGATGATCTGCGACGAAGTAGATGGTGCCCTCTCTGCGCTGATAGCGGTGGGGCCCTCAGCGATCTCGTCTGACATCAGTGCAGAGGCATCAGGCTGCATGGTGATCTCTGCTGAAGTCACTGTCGCTGTCACTGGTCGCTTCTTGTGGCGTATGTCGGGTATGATGATTGGCCTGTCATTGTAGAGGCCCAATTCTGCTGCTGGAACGATCTCGGCTGAGAAAGTTCTCGACAACTTCGTAGATTTCCCTTTGGAGGATGACGCTGCCCTGGGGGTACGAAGTCTGCGTTGAGAGGACGTTGAGGCCCTCTTGGACTTTATCTGCGATGGCCGGGATGTCTGGGGAGGCGGTCGCTTCTTAGAGGTGACGGACTGCATCCCCGTCCCTCTTCGATGGGGTCTCAAGCAGAACACCAGGCGGAGGGTAAACGACAGCAGCTGACTGGATGGGAAATCCGATGTATCGGCCATGTCTACACCTAGTTTGCGTGACCTATCTGCAACACGTCTCAAGGCGCTTAAAGATGGTATTTATTAAAGGCAGAATTGGTTAAATTAATGCAGTAACTGCAAGCGTGAATCAAACGCACAAGGCGTAGTACAACTAGGGCATACTACATGCGGATCAGCAGCGGAAAAGCGTAATCTACAAATAGTACAGTTTTTCATCAACGTAATACTAGCTGAACAATCACGAACTCACGTGAATAAACAGTAGAAATACGATTAATTATCAATGCAAATTAATGAAGGATACTAGCTATACCTTTATAGTAAACTATAAGAGGTAACTAACTAAGAAAACCAAAGGATATAGTGTGTAAGGAGACACAGGCGCTCTCGCATCCTGCTCACTGGGCGAAGAAGGAGAGAGTGAAGCATGAGGCCAGAGGGTGGCGACACCTGTTCCCGAGCTTAAGGCAGGGGAGGCAACTCTTGGGTGAGTACCAATTAGTGATTTTACATTGAAGGGAGCTTCAATTAAGGAGATACAAGTGTTCCACTATGTTCGCAAGAGGAAGGGGACAAGCAAAAGAGCATGAGTCAGGATAAGGAAAAATTACAAAATACACAACACATAACACCTCAGCAGCCCGTAATACAAATAAATATGAGCGTATTAGTGAAAAAAGAAAAATATTTCAAACTGGTGCTTGCAAAATATTGAGCATCCGCCGGTATACAACTACTGGAAACTCTCAACATCGTTGGGCTTATGCAATGACATAGCTCGTAGAGATGAAACACCAGTGAGCGGAGCTTATACGCACTCGCTGAGGCAGACAACCATGTTGCCATGCAGGCGTCATAGGGCATTGTTTCGAGATCGTGCTTTCAAACAAAATCACATTACATTACGTAAAAGGGTATTATGACGTATTTTTAAAGTTTGTGGTGCTGTATTATAAAGGTAGGCCCCATCAACATTGTAAATAAGTTGATTAATTCATTTATGTTATTTCGTGCTATTAAAGACTGCAAAGAAATTTATATTGAAGAATGTTTGTGTGAATGACGTGTCATTCAAAATGACAGCAAGGGAACTTCAAACTCTCCATTCCGAATGCGCTACAGGCAGACATATCACGTGATCGAAGTATGTGACGTAGCTTTCTAGGTCAGTTCTGTTGACAGTGAGAGAGCGTCCATGCCACAGCAGTGACATTTGTTAGATTTCAATGGGTTTTGGAGATGTCAAACTCAAGTATTTTTGCATTACAAGCCCGTGAGATTGGTAACTAAGAGTTCCGCCCATAACCCCCCGCTTGTAAAGTATGCTATTTATTCTGATTATTTCAAGGGGTTAGGTTTAGGTTTAAGGTTTAGATTCATCATTATGTTAGGTTTAGGGGGGGTTAGGATAGGCTTTCTATAAAAACCATCTATTCTTACTGTAAATCTTAGGCATAGAATGAAAACAAAACGGGGCTTACGGGCGGAAATCTTCCCTAATCATACATCAACGGGTTCCTGAACACTGCGTTTCACAACAATATCGCATCTCCATTCTATCATGGTGTATATCCTGACTTTTGATCAATGATGATAACTTTTCTCAATCATGATGATACATTGATAGTAACCAACCTTGAGAGTCAAGCAATCGATGATCTAATTTATTAATGTTGGTCTGCTGTTGAAAGTTGCGCTGGCTGAAGCACAAAGACTCAGACATCAATTTTCTTGTTAACAGTCTTCTAGCAATTACATGCATGGAAGTGATTTTGATACACATGCTTGTCGTATTGGCCGGAAATGGATATCTTGGGAAACCTCGTGAAGGTCGTTGGGTTGACCCGGAAGTACTTACCATAGCAACAGCCCATGCGTAAACCTTGTCATCCGGGTTGTTTGGCTGTTGCTTAGATACCGATGTCCGCTCTCCATATTATATTTGGGGTCGCCTTTACTCGGTAGGTCTTTTGCACGGAAGTTCCACATTAGTAAGTGAGTTCGCCTTTTCGCGCAGAATTCGACAAACAAGCCAAGATGATAAAAGGAATTCCACAACAGACCAACAAAGGAAAAGAAAAACAGAAGGTAACTAAATCATGCAGTTCATCGATGAGTTGTCGATCACAATCCCTCCATTTTTAGTATGGGAGTCAACAGTACCTAACAACGTCTAATATTAACCTATAGTTTGTTTTTTATCGTGCTTCGTATCTCTATAACTGTACAGCATCGTTGGAGGCAAGACGTCTGCTACGTATTTATACAATTTTTCTGCCGTCATTTTTATTCACGAAAGATTAAATGGAAAATATATCATGCGAGGGTGTGTGTTTGGGGATGATGAATCCTCAGCATTCGGAATATATAAACATTGTATTTAGCAATAGTCTGCCTGTTAAATCCATTGTGTTTATTCCTTTTTCGGCTCTTCATACAGGATATTTTCCATTCCCAAGCAAACCCTCTTCATCTTAAACTGTCATTCTTAATTCCAGTGTCAATAATGTTTTGTTCTTATCTTCGAACAAACATTTTCTTATCATTGCAAGTTTTCCTGGAATGTGAGCATTCATATGTTTTACATCAGTAGGTTACTGAAACATCTGATTAGGGAAACCAATCGTGTCCTTACTGAATTGTTTTCACCATTTATGTCTCCAAAGACAAGTTATGTTAACCAAACTCTAACAGCAACATTCAGCATCAGAATATATATATGATGTTATTCTGTGAGTTTATGCTGGGATTTATCAACATCAGTTAACAGGCCAATATTCAGCCAGAAATGGCCAACCATCTGACTAAGTGGATATGACTTGTGTTTCACTGATAACATGCCCGACTTAGCTATCCTTTCAAAGTTTTAGTCACTGCATTATCTTGTCACTTCATTGCACCCTATTGTTAGCAATTACTGTTTGATACTGCTTGTTCATTGCACAAGTGCTAATTTGTTCAAAGATAACATGACAATTCATGAAGTGAATTCATTAGTCTGTTTCATCATGATTTTTTAAGGGAATCTGCCAAGTGATTTATGGTGCAACAATTTGCTGTGCAGAATATAAATTATAATGATCATGAGTTCAAATGCCAGATCAACCCTGATTATGATCACTGGTTTGTCACCACCAAAATGATATCTATGAAAATTATTGATAAATGATACTATTTGTAGTTATGAAACTTTCACACAAATGGTATATTTCTCCTCCTAAACATTTCTCTTTCATAGCAATATACAGAGATGCCGACCCATACTATTTTATCGTGTTCATTTCGGAAAAAAACCCACACAATTAAGTGACTACGATAGCAGTAAAATATACAATATTTTCAAAAAATACATTAAGTAAGATTTTCAAATAGCATACGTACCATACACAATAAATTTAACCACATTTTATTCAGTATCAAGCTATATGTGGATACTCACTACTGATTTAGATGTGTACGATGTTAATAACAAGTTCTTGAATATCTATATATATTTTTTTATTAAATATGAAAATTATTTGGAAAAGTTCATACTAATTTTGGTCAAAACATTCTAATGTTTGCATCAGTTTTTGGCCAAGATACTAATTGGGCATCTCTGGGTATATCTAGTCGGTTTGACCATATTCCACTTTTCAATACGTTCAGTAAAACAATCCATTTTTTTCATATAAAAAGTTTAATACATGATTTTCATATGAACTAAGTGTTTCTAGTTAGACATTTCCATATTACTGTTCACAGATAAAAACAGACTATTTCATCCTAGCAATAGTGAGTGAGTGAGTTTAGTTTAATGCTGCTTTTAGCAATATGCCAGCAATTTCATGACAGGATACACCAGAAATGTATTCTAGCAATGGAAATCTTCAGATCATGGTCAAGATGATTGATATAGGATTTGTGCATTATGCTTAGTTGAATAAAGACAAGAATTTGAGAATCATGAACTGGTGGAATGTAAAAGGTATTTACTGAACATATGCATGTTTCTAAGTTGTAATGCTTTAACATGTTACTGATCAATCCATGAAAGTGTAAATATTTTGTTAACCAAATATGGTGGATTAAATTTATGATGTATTTGTTCGTGATGTCTATTGATACTTCTTGCAGGTTGAAGCACCTCCTGTAGCTGGGGCCTTCAAACAGAGACCAAGCAAGCCAACAGCATTCAGGAAGTTCTATGAAAGAGGAGACTTTCCCATTGCACTAGAACATGACACAAAGGGCAATAAAATTGCTTGGAAGGTAAAATGTTTTTAACATTTTGGCCCTATTTATGATCATTACTTGCCATTTTCTTTTAATAATTGTAATGGGCTTTTTTTTCACAGGGAAATGTAGTTTGGATTTACAGTATGCCTTGTATAAATTGTTGCACTACATGTTGTATTCGAAGTTAAGATCATGATTAGACCTTTGGACTTTAGCAGTGTGCTTAACTTCCCTTCAAATGCTTTGGCTCTGTGAACATTTCTCTTCAGGATAAATGAATCTATTATCCTTACATCAATGTAGTTCTATTTGTTGGTTCTTATTAACAATGTCAGTAAACATATCAACTGCCACAAGCTATTGACAGCTTTTTAAGTCATCAGTTTCCATTCATCTTCAGTTGTCTCAAATGATTTAGTCAAAAATAAGAGTTCCTCTTCTATCACAGTTTAACACCCACAGTGTCTGTGGGTATACATTCTCAAAGTGTGAACGGCTTCATCCCAAAATGAGATGGGATTTGTTAGGATCTTCGTAAGCTCAGGGTCAATCTTCAGATGATTCTAACATATGGTTATATCAATTTTAGTTTCTAAATAATGGTGTTACCTCAAATCTGGATATTTACATGAATTTAAACAAATTCTACCATGTAAATGGTCAGTAGTGTTAGGTGCCTTGTACACACATTAAGCTGACATTCCTTTGGTATGACTGAAGTATGGTTCAACATAAGTTGCACGTGTTGGAATCACATATGACATTGTTAAACAGGATTTAAATATTCCTCTATGCAAAGGGTTGGTGAAAACGTTTGCTTTATACGAGAATATATAAGAAGCACTATATTCCAAGTGAGCACATAGTGGTTGTGGTTGAGGCATTACTCTTGATGATGATGTTGATGATTGGGAGATTTCACATGTACTTTTTTGACGTGTGTATTTTACATATGGTCATTACTCTTTTTCATCTTCAGGCTCATATATAGCCAAAGTCATCTGACATAGAGTGCTAACAGTAATGAGAAGTGACATAGTTGCATTACAGTGGGGATTAAATTTGTGATTGGCATGTCATAAGTAATGTCAGCTAAGTGATTCTAGACACACATATGTCATGGCTACAGGGTAAGCAGTGTTTGAAATAAACATTCGTTCAGGCAGGTACTTTGACAGTTAAATCCATCTCACTCAGTGAAATGTTTTTGTCATTTTTATTTTTTTTGACTAGTTGGTTGATGCATCAATGTTTTATTCTCGCATGAGCTGGCTGTTTGTACAGAAATGCTTCTTCAGATGTATGCTAAAGTTATGACATAAGGAGAATATTTCATTGGCATGGTAATGCATTTATAAACGTGGTAATAAACTTTCCTTAGTGTTTACTGTTGTTATAAATTATGGATTAAATATCACCAGATGAGGTTGTTTATCAATCACAAAATTTAAAGGTCGAATAACAACTAGATCATGCAGGGACCGAAATTTCATTGGACATATATTGTGTTTATTTTAATATTATCTTTCAGTGTATTAGAAAATTGTCTCTGTATCCCATCTTTCATTTCAAATCACTCTGGAAAGTCTCTAAATATCTATCCTTAGAGAGTGAATTTAATTCAGGGACATAACTCCGAAAATTAAGATAAAAGAAAATGTGTTACAGTCATGAAACACTTACTATGCTTATCAAACAACAGCCAATCAAAGGCAGGCTTGTTTGAAACAAAAAAGATCTCACAAAGATAGCCATTACATAGAACTCTTGACATTAGTCACAATACATATAGAATACTGTACATTGTGATCTCACCCAGGTATCCTCAGAAGCTATAGCAACAAGCAAACATAACAATATCAAAGCAACTATTGTACAATTATTTTCACACTCGTAGCTAGGTCAGCCTGTAAATTATCCAAAGACTGTAACTATAACAAACAACTGAAAGAACACACTATAGTACATTATTTTAAACTTTAGTTATATTTGTATTGTTGTAACAGTGTGAACACACGCTTTTTGTATCATTTGTAGCTAAACCACTGTAATTCATATTGTCTGGTAAGTATCCATTAGTAATTGCTAATGTCAATTGACATGTTTCTAGGTGGAGATAGAGAAGTTAGACTACCACCACTACCTGCCGCTGTTCTTTGATGGTCTGTGTGAGATCAAACACCCATATGAGTTCTTTGCAAGACAGGGTGTCCATGACATGATGGAGCATGGTGGCTCTAAGATTCTACCTGTCATTCCTCAGCTAATCATCCCTATGAAAAGTAAGTTCCGTGTCCCCACAGGACAGGTGCAGCAAATACTCCACACACAAAAAACATTCCATGATTTGTTAGCAACAGATACATGGGATTATATTGGTTCATCAATTGTGTATCTCAAGATTCTCTTCCTTATGATGTACATGTTCTCTTGCCAGGTCTTAAATCAGTGTTCATCAGCTGACACACGCCACCACTATTCCCATAATAAATATGTTTACTGTGGGAGCATAATATTTATGCTCAATAGAAAGTCAGGTGCCATCATGTAGATGGGTTTATTTTGCATTCCTCAGAATTGATGACTGTCTCAAAAATATTTTCATTTGCTCAGACACCTGCCTCATATATTAGAATGTAAACATGCTGATTTCTTTGTCTTCTCCAGCTCAATTTTCTGTCAGTGCCCTTTCATTGGATAAAAATTAGAAATAGTCCAATCAGACTCTAGCCTACATATTTTTTCAGACATAGTAATGTTCTGGTAATGTTTCTGCTTTATATGACTTTGGTATCATAGAATCACCTGACACACGTTATGTTAGCATAAGTTATGGGTATTGACCTGAATTTCGTATTTTGTTGGTTGTGGCCAACTGATGAAGTAATAGCCACCTTACATACAGGACACTGATCACAAAGAGTTTCACTTTTTTCACAGGAAACAGTGGCTAATATTCATAATTTTATAATGCCACTTTTCTGGGGTCCCTGTCTCCACTTGTTATTAAAAAAAGTCTTAAGATCCTTAAGCTTTACTACAATGCTATTTGAATCAAGGGACATTCTAAATATTTGTCATAATAATTTGCAACTTGACCAGAAATGCTTATCATATATGAACGTGGATACGCCAATCTCATAGATAAGGTCAGCTCCTAACTTGACCCTTAAAATCAGTATCAAAATGGTATCTTTGGTACATAAGCCGAACCACCAACCTTCATACACCTTCTGGTCGTGATCAGTTATTGGAGATAGAATATCAACAAATCCATATTGCATTACCCAAGTTAATCCTGATGTGCAGATAGTGCATTCCAGTTTATTTAAATTAATCAAAATGTCATTCAATAATGTTTATATTAATTGAGGCAAAATTGTGTGTCCCTCCGATACGTATAACTTCCGTCTACATTATTCAGAGCAATCACAATCATATACATATCACGCATTGAAATGAAGTGTAGTTGACAGAAAATGGATAGGTATATATATTTTGTTTGGTCATGTTTGTTATAGCTGTAACACACAGTTTTCGTGGTGGGAATAGCGAGATTGTGCGAAACCATATCGGTGACAGGGCAAATTGCCCCATACATGAAAAGCATCCGACAATACACCAAAGCACCGCATAACCTTACTTATTACAAACATTTTACATTTGGACACCAAACCTGCATTTTAAATGACACAATGCTAGAATATATTTCTCTTGGTAAAATAATAGTTTCAGATATTATTTTTTCCGATATATGTGAAGTAATCTAAATCCCTGCACATAATACAATGCCTAGCAAAAGCAAATTAGAACTGAAGAAATAATTAATCTTGTCTAGTGATGTTTAATTGCAAATTTGACATTTTCACTCACAAAATCATTTATTCTTGTTCGTTCACACAATGCGCGAGAAAAAAAGTTTGAAAGTGTAACCTATATATAAGCTAACCCCTTTCTACAGAATGCTTTTTGGGGGGTCTTCAAATCACGGCTTACTTGTGGTCATATACAGTATCTTACACTATACATCTACTTTCATTTGTCCTGTGCCAATGGACCCCTGATCTATAAAAAATGGGTCATTTTCAAACTGATGGGCCGTTTTGAAATGGGCCTGGACATCTAATGAAAGTCTCCAAACCTATTAATCACAGTATGTAAAGTAAGAAACAACACTGTATGTGTACCTTAGTATGTAAGGTAAGAAGCAACCCTGTATATATTTCTTACCTTACATACTAAGGTATAAAAATGAAAATGTTTCCACAAAGTCAATCTTCCATTGCAAATTGTTCCCTCATTATGTAATATTGTGACCATAAGTGGTGCACTTGTGCCCAATCCCTTCGTCTTTTGGACAATAAAATATGTAACTCAGGGATTTACGGGACGCGAATTCCTGCGTCCTATACGCATAACAATTGATAACTGACACAACGAAATTGATAAGCGTCCACAGGGACGCAGAAAAAGTCCAAATACTACTTGTAAAAATATCATTCAAGTAGCAACAAGTTATCACTGAGTCTGCTACTAGCCGGGTTATGGTATCTTTTGCAATTTAATTTCTGTAACAATGTGATGATCACAATACACAATATATAACAGTAACTGAATTACAACAATATTACAACATAGCATTAATAATGATATTTAAGTGTCTGGGACTCTCAAATGTAGTCCAGGACCCCCGAAAATTAAGAGGGACCCTCAAAGACAGGACTTGAGGTAAATCCCTGAAACTCATGTAAATAACTCGTTCATTGATTTTCAAATACACTCTCTGCACCGCAAGATCCTTTAGTAAACCCAATAGACTTTTAAATTCACTGAGAGGTATGTTTTCTGAAGCCATCTGTTAGACAACTTGGATAGATTTCATTAATCCTTCATCCATATCTGAACCTGATTTTTGACTGGTTGTTTTGAGCTTTATTTGGCATACCACTTGCTGACTAGCTTGCTTAACATGTCATGTCTATGCATGCTGCTAGTAATAAAATACCCCAGTCATTTATACTGTACCCTACTGGCACACTGACTTTAAAATAAACTGGCCAATTTAACATGTACCTTCACCAATCACTTTATAAATACATATATATTGGTTTGTGTATGGTCCTTGTTTTTTAATTTGTATACATTAATGTATATGTAAAAATTTATTTTTTTTCTAACAGATTCCTTGAATATGCGTACACCCATTGTTCTGTGTACTACCCTGAAAGTGCTGCAGCATCTAGTGGTTTCAGCTGATATGGTGGGAGAAGCCCTCGTCCCATACTACCGCCAGATCCTTCCCATTCTCAACATCTTCAAACGGATGAACTGTGAGAACTAGTCAGACGTTTTCTTATGTAATGAGGAAAGTAGAACTGGAATAAGGGAATGATTTGATATTAATAAGTTTCAATAGAACAATTTGGTTATGTGCATAAATGACAACAAATTTCTGAAATATAAGCAAAGGAGTCATAACTGATAATGAGAGGTTTGCTTCAATACTATTGAAGTAATCTTTTAGTAAACTGTCAACATTGCACCCAGTGTGCGAAATAGCCACTGGCCCGCTAGCCCATGGCTAGTACAAATCCATTCAGACCAGTAAATCTCCAAGTCACTGACTGGCCTGACTGGCTAGTGAACTTTCATGGGGTCATTTTTTTAATACATCACTCTCTCCGACCTGTTAAGTTATAATGCACTTTAAATCAATGAAGATTATGATCTGATAAATGATGGTATTTTAACTTTTTGTAATCTTAGTTTCTACATTCAAATTTGGGGCTAGTGAATTATTTAGTGGGCTACTAACTTTCAGGGATAGCTAGCCCGGCTGGCAAACTAAATTTGTAAACTATTTCCCACCCTGATTGCAATAGCGTGAAATGTTTACTTGATGAAGATGATAATGTCCAAATAAATATCAGTTTATTGACCCAACATGATGAACTCTCTTTCAGTGAATTCTGGTGATGGAATAGATTACGGCCAGCAAAAACGAGAAAATGTTGGAGACTTAATACAAGAAACATTGGAGGCCTTTGAGCGTCATGGTGGAGAGGATGCGTTTATCAATATCAAGTACATGGTTCCAACATACGAGTCCTGTATGCTCAACTAGCAGCCATACATAAGCATTGAACACTTTAAGTGAGGATTACATTAACCATTGCAACCATTGTACAGTGACAAGATGATATTTTGTGATAAAGAAACACTTTGGCCAAACCCTGGATATTTTTCACTGTTGCAAAGTGAAGATATATCCATCCATCAGTATTTCTAATATTTTCATTGTTTAGCTCATAGTACTACTTATTAATCATTCTAAGAGCCATTTTAGAAATTTTCACTGTTTGATTTTAAAGCAGCAAATTCATTTAATCATACCTCAGAAATGTTAGGACATATTGAGAAATAAGTACATTTGATTCTTAGTTAGTGCGAAGCATAATAAAATGAACTTGAAATAAAGAAAATGTGTTTTGAATTTTTGTAATTTCCTAATATTTTTTATATTCATTGTTTACATTACACTCAAGAACAAACAAATTCTTGTATAGTTTTGAATATTTTCAACATCCCAAAGCATGTTTTGTTTGAAAAGTATCATCAATTTTAGTAAATATTTTAACCTCTGATATATTTTCAGTAATTGAACAGGTACATATATATTAGGTTCATCTGCTGCTGTACTTTTGCCTACAGGCCTGTTTCAAGTACCAGATTGTCTGAAATTATGCCTGTAGTGTTGAAATACAGACATTATTGTTGTTGTTTTGGTACAACTTGTATATAATTTTCAAAATTGGCCAGTAGGTTATGAAAACAAAATGGATGCTATTGATCTCTTGATCTAGATTTTGTTCATCAATAGATGTCCAGTTTTAGATGTGTTTTTTTATGAAGGAGGTTCCTCCAGCTACCTTACAGGCCTTCCTCCTGTCTGCTTGCAACTCATATGTATAGCTTCATCTTTCTCCCTCCGCCTTGTACAGTTTAACCACTGTTTGTGTCTAATGGCAAATATCCAACTCCCTCTGTTGTAAATAATAAAGTTATATACCATATTTGTGTGTTGTGATATTTCAAAAGCTGCAATCAGTTGGAATGTAACTAAAATAGGATAAATATGACAGCTCTCCCATTATGCAGACAGGCAGTTCTCAGACATCTTAAAACAATTACAGTTCAATGAACAGATTAACTACTACCTGTTACCTATACATTAAAGCACTAACATTCAGTAGGTAGCACAGTAGCTTTCAATTGTCATCATATATACTCTGTGTACAAGGTCTGCATCTGTGTTGTCTCTTCTCTAGCTCGTTTGCGCTGTTCACTGACAAACTTCTGGTTATCTGGTGCGTGGTTGTGTTTTGTCTTCTGTGTTCAGAAGTCTCTGACAGTTGAACATCTCCCCCGTGCATGTCTTGCCGATCCATCTCCAGTGGGTGCAGGTCTGTCTGACCTTATTTCTGGTGTAGACATATCCATCAAGAATAATTTGAGGGCCTCATGCTGTGACATCAGATATTCGACTCTCTGCACTCCAGCCATATTGATAGCAAACATGTTGTTCATCATTTTATATATTTTTTTTAGTTGTTCAAAACAAAGTGAAATTAGTCTTTTGATAAAATTAATTAGCTAATTCCTGTTTATAAAAAACAGGTTTAAAATACGAAAGTACAGAAATACAAGTAATAAATTCGTTACAAACACATTCGAGGGGCTTGTTTCGTTACTTCTTCGTTGAATGAGAATGAGATAACTTGAGCATGCATCATTAATCTTCGAGTGGTTACAATTTGAGTTACGTCCCTTGGCGGGAGCATTCATTATGGTCATTGCAGGGAGAACTAATTGTTAATTGTTTACCAGTAACATCCCATCCTTCCCCTTAAAGATATGCTCTTTAAAGTAAACATTAGAATTAAGGCAGTTGTACAACATTAACTTTAAAGTCTCTCAAAAAAGAAACACTGCCTTAACACAACTGATCAGCTTTTTCAGTTTTGGGTAACTGAAATATTACCACTTAGGGTCTTCCAGGAAATATGAAGAATACACTGAAACTTAAGTTTCAACATTTAAAACTGATCAAAGTCTTGATCGAACAGTAACTTGTAATCCACTTGAGGTTCTTGCAGCACTCTGTCCTCTAACATCGACAACTGGTCGGTCTTCACCTCCACTCGACTGAGTCGAACCTGAGCTGCGCCCCGTATCTCCCTGTTCTGAAGCGACTTGTGCTGAATGATTTGCCACCTGTGATTCAGTATGTCTTGGGTAAAGGTCAACTGGTGGACTCTCATCTTTGGCTGGCTCAGGTGCAGGTTCTCTCGAATGTCTCAAGTGTTTTCTGTTTCTCCTCAAAATTCTTCCATCAGGCGTTTTCACTTGGTAAGATCTTTCACCAACCTGTTCATTCACTACTGCCTTTTGCCAACATCACGGTTTCTGTTTTAAGGTTTGATTCGTACAACATCACCTTCTTTCAGCAAAGGCCATGAATGAGCTGACCTATTGTAGTATTTGGCCTGTTTTGTCTGTCTGGCAGCAAGTTTGTTAGTGATGTCATCAGCTGTACTCGGTCTGAGCAAACTCTCAGCTGTTGGTTGGCAGGTTTTTGTTCTCCTATTGAATATTCTTTGTACAGGTGATGTACCCCGTACCAATGCCTTCTGTTGGTACATTTCTCCATTCCAACAATGCAAGGTATGGGTCTGATTGAGCAAGTTTTGATTTTTTCATCAGTCTCTTAACAGTCTTTACTGCACTCTCAACCTTGCCATTTAATTGAGGTTATCTAGGAGAAGAGGTTTGATGCTGAAATCCATAACTGGAGACAAATCTGGCAAATGCATCCGAGTTAAAAGGGGGCCCATTATCGGTAATGATTTGGCTTGGTATGCCTTGAGTTTTTCAATAACCTCTGTTGCATTCTTACTACTCAAGCAGTCTACCTCGAAAAAGTCAGAGAAGTAGTCCACCGTAATAAGATAATCATGCTCATTAAACTCGAAGAGATCACTTGCAATCTTATCCCATGCTCAGGACGGTAAATTATGGCTTAGCAATGGTTCCTCCCCTGATCTTGTTAAACACTATTGCAGATTTCACATTTTCTGATATGATCAGTTAAATCTCTTTTCATGTTTGGCCAATACACAAGTTCACATGCTCTTTGAATAGATCCTTGAATTCCATTGTTGCTGGAGTGGATCTGTTCTGTGATTTCAGCCCGCATACTTCTGGGAATAACCACTCTTTCCCCTTTAAAGATCACATCGTTCTGAACTGATAGTTCTTCACGGAAAGTGAAATAATCTCTAGCAGCATGTAGCAAGTCATCTTTCTCTTCAGGCCAGCCTTGAGTGAGAATGTTTATCAGGGTTCTCATTTCATTGTCAGACTGTGACTCAAGTTAAATCTTGCCGAAAGTTTTGTCTGAGACGGAAATTTATTGTTTCATGTCAATAGACTCTGTTTCAATTTCTGTTGGTGATCTTACATCCATTTCAAAGATGTCATCCATTTCAACACTTCTTGTGGTATTTGTACAAGGCAAGTATGTTCAACTGAGGGTGTCTGCAAGATATATTTGAGAACCTTTCTTGTTGACAACAAGCAAGTCAAACTTTTGAAGCCTGTGCGTCATTCTCTGCGGACGTTCGTTCATAATTGACTCTAACGGCTTGTGGTCCGACTCATCTTTTACATTTCTTCCATATGTGTAATGCTCAAACTTCTCAACTCCAAATACAATAGCCAATATCTCTTTTTCAATCTGGGCATAGTTTTTTTCCGAGATGGTTAGGGACCCTTGCACCATAAGCAATATGTTGACCTTGCATTAAACTCACACGCCCAATCGATTCTGTGAGGCATCACACTGAATTACAGTCTCAGCTGCATCATCAAAGTACTTCAAGACTGGAGGTTCGGCTAAAATATGCTTGATCCTGTCCAGATACTTTCATGTTCATCCCAGCGAAACTCAACATTGTCCTGTAACAAGGATCTCAAAGGTGCTGTTACTTCAGATAGTTTTGGTGCTAAGTTTTGGACATAATTGACCATTCCAAGAAGTCTCTGTACACCTTGTTTGCCTGTAGGAGCAGGCATCTGTGCAATCGCTTCAACTTTCATGGGGTCCACTTTCAATCCATCTCTTGTAAGAATATGTCCAAGGAAAGGGACTTCAGGTTGTTTCAGTTTTAGCTTTGATCTGTTCAGTTTGATACCCATTTCTCTACAGCGATCGAGGAATGCAACCAGTTTCTTGTCATGATCTCTCTCTGCTTCAGTATCTGTCAGACCGACACCAAATATGAGCACATCATCATGGATAGCTTTTACACCTTCAAGTCCTTCAACAGCATTATCCATTCTTCTTTGGAACTCTTCAGGTGCAGGGGATGTCCAAAATGGCATGCGTAGCCATCTATATCTACCCCAAGGCGTCTCAAATGTGGTGAGCTGACTGCTTTCCTCATCCAGAGCGATGTGCCAGAACCCATTCTTGTCTGAGTTTTGACTTAAGTTAGAGTTTTTACTCAAATTTCAGAAAATGCAGGAAAATGCATTTCCCAGAATAAACTGAAATCGATATTAAACTCATACATAGTAAACAATTTGAGTTTGGTTGATAGGTTACTAAGTTCTTTGGGCTTTTTATCCCCTGCCGCACGTTTAGCGTGAAGCGGGGGATATAGTATTAGGCTCCGTCCGTCCATACGTACTTACAAATTGGAATATCTTAAGAACCGTTGACTGGATTCTTGCCATATGTGGTACCAAGGTTCACCACAGTAAAACAAAGGTCCCAGTCAGGTTTGGTGACCTTGACCTTCATTTCAAGGTCACAAGGGGACTTTAACATTTTACCCTTGTCAGCAAGATATCTCAAGAACCGTTCACTGGATTTTGTTCATATTCAACACCAAGCTTTATCTAGGGAAGACGCAGGGCCCAGTTGATTTTGGTGACCTTCACCTAATTTTCAAGGTCATGGCGACACTCTGAAGATTTCAGCATGTTAAGTTGCTTGTTAAGCTTGTCAGCGAGATATTTCATGAACAGTTCACTGGATTTTCTTCATAGGCTTTCAAGACTTCCCTTGAATGTTTTTCAATAAGCAATTTCTTTCTTACTATTTTTGCATATTTCATACACTAAGACATTCATGTCAAGGTCAAAGTGAGTCTTGAAAATATTTGTGCGTTTGAACAACTACAGATCAAGATATCAAGAGAGGTTGACTGGTCATGTTTTTGTTGACATTTAACTTCATCTTAAATTACGACCTTCACTTTCATTACTTTTTTAAGTTTGATTTGATAATTTGCGGCGGGGGGATTATGTCACCTTAGTGACAA